CAGCTGATATCTGTCTGAAACTGAGGTCACACTTTATATTAGGTGGCCATAACTACGATGTCCATACATAAAAAAATAAGTACAATGTACTTATTGTGGTCATGTTGTATTGCAAAACACGTTTGCTGCTATTGAGGTGGGACGGGGGTAAGGTTAGGAACAGGTTTGGTGGTTTGGGTAGGTTTAAGGGTGGGTTAAGGTGTAAGGGATGGGTCAACAGTGTAATTATAAATGTAATTACAGAAATTAATTACAGATGTAACTACATATAGGTATTTTTTAAAATATAAGTACAATGTAAAAACATGTATGTACACAATAAGTGCATTGTATCAAATGATTAATTTAAATGTAAGTACATAGTACTTAAGGCCACCTAATATAAAGTGGGACCGAAACTGTTATTATCTGATACTGTCCTATCTGATTTCCTACCATACTTGAAGGTAGACAAAAAATAATGCATATAATAACTCTTAGTGTACCACATCCACTTATTAAATATCCACTAAATATTTTTGTTGCAAAATAAAATCTGATTGCTATATGAAGCTGATATTATCTGATACTATCCTTTCTGATATCCTACCACACTTAAGTGGGGGGGGGATTAAAAAAATTAACATGATTACATAACTCTTGCTGTACGAAACATCTTATCCAAAACATATCCAAATATTTTTATTGCACTGTAACACAGAGGTTTGCTAAAACATGTCAAAGCACATTTTGGCATTTTAACCTACAAAGGAAAAATATATAGTCAAAGCTGACAGGATTTTACTGTCTTATTGTAAAAATTTTAAATCCATCAAGTACAAGTATACAATGGAGCCTTTTGACTTTTTCTCCCACAACACTAAATAGTCAATGGGTACAATCCTAAATCCAGAATCCTGATCCATGAGGGCATTGCTTGTGATGACAAAAGGTTTTGTAACACATCCCTGAAATGTATATATACATGTATTGACAATATAGGTCAATATATAGCATTATACATCCAAACAGATTTTAGAATATTTCACACCCAGTGACCCACCAAAACAACTGATGTCTAGATTATATGATTTCCTACAATACAAAAGGGGTATTAAAAAAATTAACATGATATCATAACTCTTGGTGTACATGACATACTTAGCCAAATATGTTGTTGCCCTGTAACTGGAGAGTTTTGCTCAAAACATGTCAAAGCACATTGTTTGAATTTTAACCTTGAGGGGTAATAAGTTTAGTCAAACCTGACCGGCTTTTACTGTCTTACTCTAAAAATGTGTTGAATCCATTGGATTCAAGTAGTATTTAGGGTACACTGGAGCCTTTTGCTTATTTCTCCAGCAACACCCAACATCCACAATCTTAAATGCAGAATCCTTATCCATGAGGTCATCGCTTGTGATAACAAAAGGTTTTATAACACTTTTAAAATGCACATACCTGAAATGACACTGAGACAAAAGACATTTTGTGATTTAGTTTTGATCAAGATGGTTAAATAAACACATTTCCAGTACCTGTCAAATAAGTAGAAGGATAAAGATGTTTTTGTTGTTGTAGGTTCATATTTGCAGGTCATACTGACCCTAACTAGTTTTAATACAAATCATCAAATATCACACTATGAAAAATAGTAAATAGTAACCATTGCAAATGGTATACAGAAACACACACACACACAAACAAAATAAATGAGATAAAACTGTATTTAACAAAGTTTTGCATTTTCTAATTGTATTGTTATTTACACAACACAAATATACTGTATACAGTAATTATAGCCTATACTTTTTTGAAAAAATTATTTGATGTTTGTAAGAGGATCTTTACTAATGGGCTTATGATTTTGCATTTTAGGCTCAGTTAAAACACAAATTATGTGCTTTTTGCAAGTGTAATTGTTGAAAGCATAATGTTTTTTTTTTTTTTATTCATATCAGGTGTACTTTCACCCTTGTTGTATAGTTAAGCTGTTTTTTTTAATGTGCTATAAAACGGGAACATTTCCAGGCACAAGACACCAAAAAGAGGAACATTAGGTGACCCTAAAAAAGATCCCTCTACTTGCCACTACATATGATTTTTTCTTTTTTTTAATGTTCATCATTATTCTCTGACAATATTCACAGAATACAAAAAAAATATCTTTAGATTGTTTGGTGGGACCAGAAAACAAACAAACACAAATCTCTAATATCTGATCAAAAACTGTCTGATGCATTGTACAGGCAAACTATATTTTAAGATTTGAGTCATTGCAAGTACACACTAGATGTGCACTTAATTATTCAGATATTAAAAGCAAGCACCTAGAAGTCAGTTTAATCTGGTGTCTGTTGCGCTAAACTTAGAATCCATTGGTTTTGTTAATCATTCCTATTTTTAATACCAGTTAGATCCCACTCTCCTGTTTCGTAAACTACTAACCTCATTCATGACACCAAAAACCTGCATTTACTGAATTACAGTGTTTGTGTTTGTGGTCCTGTTGATTGTGCATTAGCCCCTGTGCTTCACAGTTCTGTTGAAATGTGTGGTCACTCATGAAAGGCTTAAGTGTTAAATCACGTGGACAGTGTTTACTTGTGTGTTTCCACCTCTAATATCACAAACACACTAGTTCGTTTGGGTTCAGTCATGGTCATATACTCCTGTATTGATTCTAGACACCTGTGTAAAGTTTGGATCCTTATCAGATGAAAAACTGTCAATATCCAGGGCTACTAAATTTGTTGGTAAAATTCCTCTACTGATTTGGCAGGTCAAAGAAAACCAAGTTTAATTGAAATTGCTGAATTTAAAAATTCTAGATGTAGACCACAAATATGTGTTTTCCGCCTTGATAACCATTAAAAGAGCCTGAATATTGTTGCTGTATAGTTTGATAACAAAAAGTCAACAGTAGAGTGTCAGATTATTTCATTTTATTGATGTGTGATTAAATGTAGATGTAAATTATATGAGCAAGCAAGGTGTAAAGCTCATTGTCATGTTATGAAACCAACAGAGTGATAGAGAACAATACCAAGTCTGTGACCTGAGTAATCTGGTTCCATGTCTCAAATTTCTGTGGATAGGATGGTTCTGTGTGCAACATGACTCAGCTTTGAGCCTTCTGTGAATGGGAGGTTCCTAATCGTCAGACTTTTTAATCAAGCCCAAAACCAGTATTAGATGTTGCTTTGTCATTCCATGCAAATACTGCAGCAAACAAATATGAAAACCACTAACAAAGAGGCATAACGACACAATCCTCTGTGTTTGTTATGTGATTAAATGTGACATATCATTGCATCATGTTATTACTTAAAAATAACCAAACAGAGCAAAGCATTACTTCACTTTTTATGCATTATCTTGTCAAAAAATAAATAAATTTGAGATACAAACAGATATAAAAACATGCTATGGGCTTCTGCATGGGCATTGTTAAATGAAGAACATCCACTCAGACTATCAATTATAAAAGACTGAAATGCACTCTTTGTTGCTTTGTCATTCCATGCAAATACTGCAGCAAACAAATATTAAAACCACTAACAAAGAGGCATAACGACACAATCCTCTGTGTTTGTTATGTGATTAAATGTGACATATCATTGCATCATGTTATTACTTAAAAATAACCAAACGGAGCAAAGCATTACTTCACTTTCTATGCATTATCTTGTCAAAAAATAAATAAATTTAAGATACAAACAGATATAAAAACATGCTATGGGCTTCTGCATGGGCATTGTTAAATGAAGAACATCCACTCAGACTATAAATTATAAAAGACTGAAATGCACTCTTTTGAACCTCTCATGGTTATGCAATAATTGGGTTGGAGAAGTGAGTGTGAGTGTGTAATAAAGCAACTTTCCTTCAAACCAAAAGCAGAAGGCAAAACCATGTTCCTGGACATACATAGCTTTTTAAATAACTGTAGATTTGTTTTTTTTCCCTACTATTTCACATTATGTATGTTTCTGTGCTCAAATGTGTTAATACTGACACTAAGCACTGACCTGAATAGAATAAATCGGAATACTATTGGGAAGAGCCATTCACTGACAAAATGTTGCGAAATAGCTTTGATCCAAAGTGCAACTCAGTACAGTGAGAAAGAAAACTTCCAGAGCTGATTGTGAATGTTGAAAATAAAATCAAAATATCTATCTATCCATCCATCCATCCATCCATCTAAAAAAATGTTACACTGATTTTATGTAAACTCTTCTGTTTATCATGGCCTGTGTTGTAAAATTTCCTACTGACAGAGATGTACTGTGCACCATTTAGGCCCACAAGTCCAACAGAACACCCATCAAAGCATGTCATGGTGACACATAAAAAGATTGTCTGATGCTACGAGTAGTGTTGGCATACCAATTGAATGATAAACAAAAAAAGTTTATTATGTAGTGTAGTGATATATGTAGCCTGGGGCTAGTTCTCACACATCAAACAATAGTAATAATGCTACTATTAATGATTACTTGAATATTAATTAAACATGTCTTGCATTAGTACCCGTGATAATACTGAACATGTTTACATGTTTGTTTTGTGACAACATGCCCCAATACTTTCATTATAGCCTATTGTTGACCCTTATCTTAATGTATGCTGTTTCGCTTTCCGTTTGTTCACTTAACCAACAGCTATAGCATATATCACGCATTAAATTTTACTTTGAAGGACAGGACTCACAAAAACATCATTTAAAAGGGGATTAAACGAGGTGTTTGGAATCATGTAAAAGGCACTTGTGGAGAGACAAACATTCGTGACAACTAGCCCCGTCTCCCATAATGTAACATGTAGGCTATAGGCTTTATATTTTAGCCATATTTATATTTTTGCAGAATCATGATTTTGACCTTGTTAGACAAGCTCGTGTTATTAAATATGTTTGCTGTGTCACCGAAACTGGTTCTGTCTTTGTTGAGCTTAAAAGGCAAGGGGCGGAGACTGGAGTCTGTTATCGCAATATATTAGCAGCAGTCTATCCGGAGGGCTGTGTGGTAAACACGGTGCTCGGTTGCGTCCGTGAGCGCGGGTCTGGCCCTTTCGGGATTTATATGTTTTTACACATTTAGTCGTTCTAGAAGAGGCTATTTCTCTCCAACTTCAGCTACAGTGATAGCTAAGTTTGGAGAGGAGAGAAGGGAAATATTCGTGATTTTGCGCAGGAAATATTTGCAGCGAGGATTTACTTTTCTTCTTCAACCTGAACAATACAAAGGAATTTAAATCCTAAATAATAAAACCGAACAAATACAATCGATTTTCAACGCACAATGGAGAGCGCTGCATCTAAAAAACCTTGCTGTGGTAAGTGTTTTACGAATTTGTTTGCCAGTGCTGTGATATGTAAGAAGTGTGCCTTCGGCTTGACCAAAATAATAAATAATCTTGCACTTGAATTTCTGTCTTTTCAGAAAGAGTCGGCGAATTCTTCAAGTCTGCGAAATTCCTCATTTACCTCGGACATGCCCTGTCAACATGGGTAATCTGTGTTTGACAGCCCGTCCTTTTTTCTTTTTCTTTTTTATGTCAGTCACAATAACAAAACAGAGAACTATATTTATTTATTTGCATATGTTGCATATATGTAAGAAGTGTGCCTTCGGCTTGACCAAAATAATAAATAATCTTGCACTTGAATTTCTGTCTTTTCAGAAAGAGTCGGCGAATTCTTCAAGTCTGCGAAATTCCTCATTTACCTCGGACATGCCCTGTCAACATGGGTAATCTGTGTTTGACATCCCGTCCTTTTTTCTTTTTCTTTTTCTTTTTCTTTTTTATGTGTCAGTCACAATAACAAAACAGAGAACTATATTTATTTATTTGCATATGTTGCATATATGTTATTATATTTTATATATTTTACTATATTTCATTTTTATTTTGCATATCATTTTTATATTGTATTTACATTTTAGATTTTTACACACACACATAGATAGATAGATAGATAGACCTTTAATCCCTTTTATTGTGTCTTTTACATTTTTTTCCCTTTCACTGAAGGGTTAAATTCCTCTTTTTTTTAAATCAGGTAAATTAGACTTTTTTCATGACAGCAGAGTGACCATTTGAAGATCAGAAATGTTATTAATTTTACTCCAAAACATATATGTTATAAATGTTTTAACACGTATGTGCATATACATAAGTATATGTATGTACACAAACACACACACAATACGTACACACATAGATATCTATTACATTATACAGAATATTATGTGCATTATATATTTTTATTAATGTTGTCTTATATAGATGCATATCCATACCAGCTAATATAAGCTGCCAAATACTTATGACAATTAATTCTTTTGCATTAACCCTATAAAACTACAGTGATATTTCAATCACAGAATTATTTTGACTGATGATCATTGTGTCATTATGTTACAGGGGGATCGGATATGGAATTTTGCTGTGGCTGTGTTTTTGGTGGAGCTGTATGGCAATAGTTTACTCCTCACAGCCGTGTATGGACTGGTGGTTGCGGGGTCCGTCCTCTTACTGGGCGCTATTATTGGTGACTGGGTGGACAAAAACCCCAGACTGAAAGGTAAATATGGCAAAGCTCCAAACACAGAGCATGCAGAATTATTGTGCAACCTGACACATTGCTGAGAGCATGTATCAGTTCTCATTTGATTATGGCAATTATTCATACATTTTTGTACTGAGTCTGGATTTCTTTCTCTATTTCAGTGGCGCAGACATCTTTAGTTGTCCAGAACAGTGCTGTCATTCTTTGTGGTGTCCTTCTGATGGTCGTTTTCCAGTTTAAAGTACAGCTTACTACCTTGTACAATGGATGGTTGCTGGTGAGTATTTCAAAAGACGTGACAGTTTGCTTCCTAGTAAAACTCTGACACTATTTATCAGTATTTGCTGAATGTGTAAATAGTTCTCCAAAAGCACTCAGAACTGATTTAGATGTATGTACTAAGAAAGAAAGTCTTCATTTCCAAGAGCAGAAGCCTCTTGCTGCAGTTCTTGGTGGCCTCCAGTTTTGTTTTTGCTCCATTTTTATGCAAATGGTTTCACTCTGAATTTGCCTCGCTGTTTAAAATTTTCTCATAGCTGGCAGTGGCAAACAATCTCCTTATAACAGGATATTCAGTTATTTCAAGCTTTTCAATAATTTCTAACCTATACAGGAGGTAATGTCATCTAAAACATACAGCTCCCTTTTTTTTTCTGCATGGACTCAACTTAAGCTCGTGTTACTGAAACATGACACCTTGATAACAAAACGGTGACGTGCTGTCAGCAGAATTCAGGGTTGTCATGTGAGCAGAAAGCATGTTGCGTGCTCAATATTAGTCCTTTGAGTCTGTTAAAGGGCTGGAAAGCTTTAACTTTACATACACAATAACAAACAAAACCTGCTGTTTGTCCTGGTGTCACTGAGGTCGAGAACCCATAGAGCAGACAAAATGGGACTCGTTCAATGAACCGTTTTCTGTTCTGGACTGTTCCTGAAAATCAAGTCAAGCTTTTTATGGCAGTGGACTAACAACAAATAATATTTGCTGCTATTTTAAACACAGTGACATATTTTTTAATTACATGTTCTTTGACATTGCAGACTACATGCTACATTATGGTCATCACCATTGCTAACATCGCTAACCTGGCCAGCACAGCTATGTCCATCTCCATCCAGAGAGACTGGGTTGTGGTTGTGGCTGGAGATGATCGGAGCAAATTGGCAGGTCAGGATGTGGAATGTTTCACCTTCTTTAATGTTCATTACAGTGGCCCAAAAAATATTTGGACAAAACTTAAAATGTATCAACTTCATCCCATTAGATAACAAGGTCACACTTTATTTTAAAGGTCCCATATTGTCAAAACTGAAATTTTCTGGCTTTTTTCATGATAACTGAGGTCTAGGTGCTATGTAACTACCATATACGTTTCAAAACAATCAGTCCACAGTAAAATTTACACAGCCTGCTTAAAGTAGCTGTGATTTTTCACGAACCGTTGTGACTTCCGTAAAAAGTTGACGTCAGAACTACACAGTCACCGCCTTCAGTCACCACCCCGAGCACCGCCCACCGTCCCACTCTCCTTTTGCCAAACCCCAGACAACATAGCGGAAACATGTGGAAAAGGTTAACTTTAACCACTAAACCAGATCGGCCGACCTATAAACGTTACACTCTCACTCAAAGGATGGATGATCTGACAGGATTGTTACTATGAGGTGGATCACATCTAACCTGTATAGTAAAGACAAACTCACCGTGTCTATCTAGTCATGATGAAGATGTATATACATTTCTTAGTAGTTAGTAAGGTAGATGTTAAATTTAGGTATTGAGTAGGATTAGGGATGTAGAATATTGTCATGCAGAATGTGCTTTAAAAGTACTAATAAACAGCCAATATGTTATTAATAGGCATGCTAATAAGCAACTAGTTAATAGTGAGAATTGTTCCCTATACTAAAGTGTTACCGATAGCAAAATATCAAATTAATTTTAACCAACTAGTCTCATGGTGGTTTTAAGTAGATTTATAAAGTCAGTTCATCACATTAATTATAGACTTGTTCCACTATAGGTTTGACGACAAAAAAAATTGTGCAAATCATTTTGTCTTTATTTTGAAAACAAACATACTTTAGTAAAATAATGTTGTATTTGTATATATTTTTATGTAATTGAATGTGGCTTAAGTGTTCAAATACTTTTTTTTCCCGCTCACTGTATTGTCTATAAAACAAATTTCACCTAGTTGAGGAAAACTCATAAAATACATTACAACACCATCAATCATCTTATCTTTATAGCGTGCTTGCATCAGCTGTCAGTCCTTATGACTCTCATTTTAAACCCATCAATGTACCTAGTGAACCCAGTAACCTACAGGAAATCCATGAAAGTTAGCACATAGCCACAATCTTTTTTTCTTGGTTCAGCATAGACACATTAGTTTGATCAAAAGTGACTAGTGAATACACTTGTTACAAAAATATTAATCAGCACAACTGTTTTCAACATTGTTAATGATAAAAATATTTATTGAGTACCAGGTCAGTATATTAGAATGATTTCTGAAGGATCGTGACACTAAAGACTGGAGTAATGGCTGCTGAAAATTCAGCTTTGTCATCACAGGAATAAATTACATTTGAAAATATATTAAAATCGAAAATTGTTATTTAAAATTGTACAATATTACTGTTTTTCATAAAATCTAAAAATAAAATATTTGCAGCCTTGGTGAGCATAAGAGATCAGAATATGTCAGTTTTTAACAATTATACTCCCTTTTGTTTTCTATATTTTTATTTTGTTAGATATGAACGCAACTGTAAGAATAATCGACCAGTTAACCAACATTCTGGCTCCAATGCTTGTGGGCCAGATCATGGCATTTGGCTCCCATTTCATCGGCTGTGGTTTTATCTCGGGCTGGAACCTGTTCTCCATGTGCTTGGAGTACTTCCTGCTTTGGAAAGTTTATCAGAAGACTCCAGCACTTGCCTTCAAGGCAGGACAGAAGGACGCTGATGACCAAGAGCTGAAGCATCTGAACGTACAAAAAGGTTAGTAATTCCTCTAACTTTTCACCAGTTAACCAACATTCTGGCTCCAATGCTTGTGGGCCAGATCATGGCATTTGGCTCCCATTTCATCGGCTGTGGTTTTATCTCGGGCTGGAACCTGTTCTCCATGTGCTTGGAGTACTTCCTGCTTTGGAAAGTTTATCAGAAGACTCCAGCACTTGCCTTCAAGGCAGGACAGAAGGACGCTGATGACCAAGAGCTGAAGCATCTCAACGTACAAAAAGGTTAGTAATTCCTCTAACTTTTGTGGCACTTTCCACAAATAGAGTCCCAATACTTTTTTAAAGTATTACAGACAAAATCCAGTGTTTTGTGTAGTGAGCACATTTGGATGTGTTAGACTATTATCTAACATAAGATTAAGATAACATAAGTATGCAATATTAATCTGCCTTAAAACACTGCTTTTCACCTGCCTCACTTTGTGCACAACCCTGTTACCTATTGGTTTTCTCCCATTACAAAACATTTACATTCCTTAAAATTGTGACACCCTGGAAGTAAATCATCAATTTAATCAATAAGTTACTCAAACTGTAGTGGTCACTGCACTTGTCAACCTCAACCATCTAACCATATTACTAAAGTTTTTAAAATATTTTTTTATTTTATTTTGACTAACAATAAACCAGCATTTGTGGATTAGTTCTTTTCTTCCTTTTTGGACAAATTTTGTAGATTAAGCACATTAATTACATTTTTTAATAGTTCCAGAATCAGATCCTATTTTGCACCCAGTTTGTGGAAAGTACTGTTCATTGCGCAATTCAGTTTTCGAAACAATTCTGACAAAAAGAGTGACTTATCCACTTATATTTATGACTCAGTCATTTTACTTTTGTGGTTTTTCATTTCACTGTTGCAGAGACTGGAAATAGTGAAAACCCAGTTGAAGGCTCCCAGTTGATGAATGAAACCGCTGAGGTGAAGAAGAACACCAGTTGCTGCTACCAAATGACAGAACCCATCCGCACCTTTAAGGATGGCTGGGTGGCCTACTACAACCAGTCCATCTTCTTTGCTGGAATGTCTCTGGCTTTCCTCTACATGACCGTTCTGGGCTTCGACTGCATCACCACGGGCTACGCTTACACTCAGGGCCTGAACGGCTCCGTGCTCAGTCTCCTCATGGGAGCTTCAGCTATATCTGGAATCTGTGGAACGGTGGCCTTCACCTGGATCAGAAAGAAGTGTGGCCTGATCAGAACCGGCTTCATCGCTGGAGTCGCCCAACTGTCTTGCCTCATGCTCTGTGTAGCATCTGTCTTTGCTCCTGGCAGCCCTTTTGACCTCAGCGTCTCGCCCTTCGACGAGGTCTTGAAACATCTGTTTGGAGACAGCGGCTCGCTGCGTGAGAGTCCTACTCTTGTTCCTACGATTGAACCGCAGATCCAGATCAATGCCACTGTTTTTGAGGAAGCCCCACAAGTAGAGTCCTACATCTCAGTCTGTCTTCTTTTTGCTGGTGTCATTGCTGCTAGAATTGGTGAGTAAATGAGCAACCAACAGGAAACAATAGAAATCGTTTTTAGACCTGAAAGTTATAAAGCCAACCTTTGAGACCAAAAACAACAATCCATGTTTGTGATAATTGCTCTGATGCTCTTTTATGTCACAACGTGTGTTTTAATTGATTCTCCTGAATTGCTTTCAGGTCTTTGGTCCTTTGATTTGACCGTGACCCAACTGATCCAAGAGAATGTGATTGAATCCGAGAGAGGCATCATCAACGGTGTCCAGAACTCCATGAACTATCTTCTTGATCTCCTACACTTCATCATGGTCATCCTTGCACCAAATCCAGAGGCCTTTGGCCTTCTCGTGATCATCTCGGTTTCCTTCGTTGCGATGGGACATATGATGTATTTCAGGTTTGCCTATAAAAGCCTCCGGAGTCGACTCTTCCTGTTCTGTTCACCCGAGCAGAAGCCTGATCCCAATATTCCCTCACTTCCAAACTCCGTATAACACTTAAAGAGATCGTAGGCCAATTTCTACTAGAGTATCGCATGCGGTGTTATTCGAGAACCTCGTCAGGAACCCGTTCCATCTGTTTTACTAACATGCATGCTTTTGCTGCTTGCAGCGCTTGTGCATTGAGTACATAGTCTTTTCCATTAGCTAAAATAACAAAGGCAAGAAGGATCTCTCCTTAGTGTAGCTTAGAATAGAAATATGTCAAAAAAGCATGCAGTACTTCCCTCTATCATACTTTTTGTTCAAGGTGCTGTAAAATTGCCTGAGAACTTATCACAGGGGGAACATACAAACACGAACTCTGGTTCTTATGGACTATACATGCTTTAATTACTTTTGTAAAAGCTCCAAAGCAAAAATGGGCATATTTATTCTACTTTTACATATTTTATTAGTTTTTCGACTTTATGGTTGCAGTTAACCTTCAGACTAGTTTTGCAACACGCTTTACTTAAGATAGTGTAGTTTTTGCCCCTCAATGCTTTTTGCAAGCCATGGTTAAAGTCTCTTTAATAGTTATTTGGAGTGTGCTAGTTATTCATTCAGGTATACTTGTATGATGCTTATATATTTATATACATGTAGTCAGTATTCTGTATCTCAGCTTCGGTGGTGCTACATTGTTATTATAACTCCTCTGGAACGCTATGTAGACATATACGGTTTGTACATGTAACCAAAGTGGATTTTTTTTTTCACCACGTGGAAGTGAGGGAAATGCAGTGGTTCCTTGTGTTAGACATTCCGAATATTATTGGTGTGAGATTTAGGCCCTGATACACTCGCCCCATTGCAACTAGAGTTTTTAGTACTACATTTGTTTTTGTCTTGTTTGATTTGAAAGTGATTTCAGCACATAATTCTTGTTTTTACAAAGATTGTTACACAAGCACTTTACATGATTACATTTTGTCCATTACAAAATAAGCGCAACAAGACACTTCAGGTATTAACATTTTTGCACAAAATAGTAGCAGTTCTGCATCAAAACTTGGAATTTTTTTTTTTGAACAAGATTCTCATATCGGTTTCAAAATTGCAACTAAAATGGGATTTTAGAACTAGCTAATCACCCAAACGCCCTCGTGAGTTTACTGCCCTGTAAGTGACACCACACCTCAGTTTTCCCTTCATTCAAATCATATGCTAATCTGATGTTCCACAGCACAAACTAAACATTACAGACCTTCCTATGAGCCACAAAAGCCAAAATCATTCAGGTACTAACATCCTTTTGACAACCACCGCTGGCTCGACATATATATTTTGTAATAGTTGTGTAATATTGATGTTGGGCACCAGCGGGAATCCACCATATTCACAGAACAGAGAAGGGATTATTAAGTCCAGTGTGGTTTGACTTCTGGTTTGAAGTTCAGCTGGTCACAAACACAGGTGCCAAGATTTCACTAGTTAAATAAGCATTTTTAACTTGTTTCAGGATTACATCACGAGGCCCTTGCGAACACAGTCAGTTTTTAAACACTTAATTGCTTCAGTGCATACTGTCTGTGTTTCTGTGAATGTAAAGCCTTATTTACTTCTGTAAAATATTTTTATATTCTTGTGTTGACTAGTTTGATTTGAATTCAGTTTTGTCCTCCTGTGTAACACCACACAGAAGATCTTACCCTTGACAATTACAAAATGAAACATTTTGCAAAAAATTGTACTTAAAACCTAGTTGAATGTAATGTAAGAACAAATGTACATTATTTTTTATGGAAGCATACTCCTGTTGTGTGGTATACTTGCAATAATTGTGGTTCACACTCCACTGCAGGGGGAAATATACAACTCAAGACTTGTACTCCATCTCACTTCAACCGAAATAAACAGATTTGTATCCAAATGCAATGTTTGAGTGATTGCAATAAGTAGAGGGGCGATTTCAAGAGGTTGACTGTGAACCGGCAGGAGCGCGGAAATAGTACAGGGTCACATTCCTCAGAAGGGTTTGCTGGTAATTTTCTCTAAAAGGCCCTTTTAGAGTTTTTTAGTTAATGCACTGACTAAAAGCAGAGTTCATTTTGGCTTGCATGAGAAGGAAAGACAAAGAACACAACACAACGCATGCCCTTCTGGGTGGGCGGCAAATCAGGTCGATCTGCTGGGTCTAGGCCTGAAATTTGTATGCAACTTTGTGTTTTTAGAACTATCTTCTATGTATATCAGGCAAAAATATGAAGGCAGCATGCATTTGATTACAGTTAAAACCTGCAGCAAAGCGGGAGTAAAGCTCAACTGAAGTTCGACTTTGCTTGAATTAGAAGTCTAGACACTGGTAAGAGATAAGATATTTTCCTAGGCGTTTCAAAAAGAAATGCACACGTGAAGTACCTTGCATCCCAAGCAACTCATTTTGTACAATATCAGTTTTTAAAACCATGACCTTTGATACATTTCCTGGAAAACAGTTCTAACACATTGAGGTTTACAATGTTTACCATGTCTGTAGTTTACATTAGTACACAGAGAATAACAGAATTAAAGTAACTGAGATGTTACATACATATATACAGTGGGGAAAACCACACAATCTGTATCTTCCATTCCAACCTCTCCCACCACCATGGGCAAGACCAAAGAGCTGTCAAAGGATGTCAGAGACAAGATTGTAGATCTGCACAAGGCTGGAATGGGCTACAAGACCATCAGCAAGAAGCTTGGTGAGAAGGAGACAACTGTTGGTGCGATTATTCGAACATGGAAGAAATACAAAATAACCATCAATCAGCCTTGGTCTGGAGCTCCGTGCAAGATCTTGCCTCATGGGGAAACGATGATCATGAGAAAGGTGAGGGATCAGCCCCGAACTACATAGGAGGATCTTGTTAATGATCTTAAGGCAGTTGGGACCACAGTCACTAAGCAAACCATTGGTAACACACTACGCCGCAATGGACTGAAATCCTGCAGCGCCCGCAAGGTCCCAGGTGGAAACATTATGCTTTAGGGCTGTTTTTCTGCTAAGGGTACATTCATAAACAAGTTCATCATTAAAATGCACAAATATACTGAAATAAATTCAACGTCACAGTAAATTGTTCAAAAACTTCTTTATAAATTGTTGATGCAAATTGGAAGAACATTATACTAACATTCAGTTACAAAATAGCTTTGTTGTCCCCAAAAAAATCATCAAACCACTAATGGGCTGCTGCAGTCCAAATAAACAATTACTAACCAACCACTGGTCTGGATCTGAAGCAAGTTGGGAATAATAATAATAAAAAAATAAAAAAAACACACATTAACAGGATTGTGAAATTGCTTCATCACGGTTTGGAGTCAATGAGGCCAGCCATCCAGCTAAAGTCAGTCTTTCTGACCCTCTTCAGTTCTCTCTCTTGTGCTTTAGAAAGCTTCAGCGTCACCTCATCCACTGAACCCTGGACTCTGAGCTCCTGCTGACTATCACATGCCTCCATTTCCTCCTCAGAGTCCTCTTCCTCTTTCTCACTGTCCATTTCCTCTCTGAAGGCATGTCAGAAGCAGCAAAAAGGAAAAATAATAACTCATGTGCTTGCAGTACAGAGCATCTCAGGAAAAAGAGAAGGGAAACTGAGAAGTAGGCATGTTAACTGTGGTGAACTTTCAAAGAAAATATATGTTCAAAAATATTTATTATTAGGGTTGGGAACCGAGAACCAGTTCTTATTCAGAACGTTCTGTTTTTTTAAAAGAACCGGAACCATGAGCAATTTCTAAGTTTCTGTTGCGAAAATGGTTCTGGTGCGACACGTGACCAAGCGATGTGAGCAGCCTTGCGCCGGCGTTTGCCGTAAAGGATGTCATAAACCAAATAACAAAAACGCCGCTCTGCCTCTTTAATTACTGAGCACATTGTTTCCCATGACGCGCACTCCACACGCGCCGCGTCTTTAACCGCCGAACACATAGTTTTCCACGACTGTACATGTACCGGCAGCGCGCAGCTCCTGCCGCCACTAAATTACATTATATTTGTCGCAAATTGTCATTAATATAGATACTGACTTCAACTTGGACCACTAAATAAATAGACTGCTATTGTTATGTAAGTGTACAGGTCATTTCAAGAGTGATAAACAAAGTGATAGAAAATATTTATTTTCATGCATTTTAAATGTTTAAAAATGTGGAAACCACTCATTGCATCACACCATCTCCTGACTGCATTATTATTTGTCAAATAGGGAAGTATGAGGGTTAGATTATTTAGTGTACAGGTCATTTCAAGAGTGATAAACAAAGTGATAGAAAATATTTATTTTCATGCATTTTAAATGTTTAAAAATGTGGAAACCACTCATTGCATCACACCATCTCCTGACTGCATTATTATTTGTCAAATAGGGGCTTTATGGAGTGTGTGTATACATAATTATAAGTATAACAGTTAATATTTCATTTATTTAGGGAAATGTCTTAGCCCTCAAGGGACTATTTGGCCAACCAGCTTATTCCTGCTTGAAAAGCAAACACTATCAATGTTATTGATAGTGTAAAAAACATCAACTTTGAAGCACATGTGATTGATGGACTAGCATTACTCAACATTACTTACTACCTTACAGCAACACTACATTCAATGAAGGTAAAATAGTGTAAAAAAAAAAAAGTTAATTCAAATGGAACCGGAATCAGAACCGGAATGTTGACCGTGTGTACTAATGTTCTGGAACCGGAAAATTTCTAACGATACCCAACCCTATTTATTATGCATGTGAACAAAGTACCTGAGGGGGTCTTGCTGGACTCCAGTGTTGGAGATCAGGAGGGAATTGACAAACATTGAGCACAGGACTGACGCAGCAGGTAGAACATGAGCTGGTGTGTGTAACAACTAAAACAAAAATAAAAATAAAGAGGAGAGATGTTACAAGAAATAAATACCTAAAATACTACTTTTTTTACAGTAGAAACAGTAATATTGCTAAATATTATTACAATTGAAAAAAACATCCATTTTAATACGTTAAAACGTAATTTATTCCTGTGATTACATTACATTAAAATATATAAAAATGTATCTTATATTATAAAATATATCTTATATTGTAATAATACATAATATTGTCCTGTAAAAAATAAAAAGCAGCATTTAATAATCATGATAACAATATAATATGTGACCCTGGACCACAAAACCAGTCATAAGGGTCAATTTTTTGAAATTGAGATTTATACATCATCTGAAAGCTGAATAAATAAGCTGTTAGGATAGGACAATGTTTGGCCGAGATACAATTATTTGAAAATCTGGAATCTGAGGGAGCTAAAAAATCTAAATATTGAGAAAATCGCCTTTAAAGTTGTCCAAATGAAGTTCTTAGCAACGCATATTACTAATCAAAAATTAAGTTTTGATATATTTATGGTAGGAAATTTACAAAATATCTTCGTGGAACATGATCTTTACTTAATATCCTAATGATTTTTGGCATAAAAGAAAAATGGATAATTTTGAACCATTCATTGTATTGTTGGCTATTGCTACAAATATACCTGTGTGACTTAAGGTTTTGTGGTCCAGGATCACATATAATATATTATAATAAAGTAAAATTATAATAAATATAATAATTATTATTAAAGTACCTGCCAAAATTTTGGAAACATTACAATTACCCGTAAATGGCCTTAAGCAATTAACTAAATAAACTGCGAAAAGATTGTTTGTCTTAAAAGAGAGCTGTACGAGCAGCGCCATTTCTTTTCGCAGTTTATTTAGTTAATTGCTTACGGCCATTTGCGCGATTTCAATCATCATGCAGTAACCCATAAACCAAAAAGACCCATAACCCATAAAGCCAAAAGAACCCCCCCCACAGATCTATGCAAATCACATGGGTCATCCCTCAGGTCAGAAAATACTGAAATCCGCATTTATACGGAAAAAAATCACTCTGATTACTCTAGTCTTCAGTGTCACATAATCCTTCAGAAATATAATATAATGAATAGAGAGCCTAGAAAGCCTACATAGGTGAAATGACTTACTTCTTTGATGGTAACGGAGCCCTGTGGCTGTTGGGGTTTGTCAGCCGCTGGATGGGACTGTGTGTTGAGTTTCTGCTGCTGTTGTCCGTGTTTGCCCAACAGCAGGTAAAATGGTGTTACAGCAACACTGTCATCAATGACAAGCTGCACAAAAGACACACGAGAGAGCAGTTACTTTGGGGGTCTTCTAAATATGTGAGAATAAGGATAGGGTAAAAAAAACAATACCTGTTTACTTGAAGACAAAATTCTGTCCTCCTCTGTTGCTGTGCTGAAGGTCAATAAATCCTGATAATTGAACACAGTGTATTTTAGTAGAAATGTCAGGACACAGTATGCACAGTATAGTATTAGAACATATTCACAGGCTACCCACAGTTCACCAGGACTATGTAGTTGTTTACAATTATTACTCTTACAAAGCAATTTAACCTGTATCTAGCTCAATATACTTTTTTTTTATCATTTCAAATTTATTTAATTTATATATTTTAATAATTTTTAAATATTTAAATATTATATTTACATTTAATAAGTTAATATAATGTAAAATAAAAAAATGTATAATTTATTATATAAAAATGTTATAATGAAAAATATTTTTCTAATAAACTTCAACCTTAATTTTTAATATACAAATTATATAGCTTTTAACATAAAAAATCATATTAATGTTCATGTCTTTTCCAGGAATTAAAAACACTATTTAAAAATTAATCTAGGTTTTCAATGAGTGTGGGAACTAACAAACATTTAAAAAAAATGAACCATCCTACTGTTATGTGTACATGTGTTTATAGGCCGTTGTGTGATTACAAATATTACTGAAATACCATGTTTTGGGTGAGGAAGTACAGCTGAGATCTG